TGATGATTGTTCAGATTGTCCAAATGCATTAGCAATTGAGATGGTAATGTTTAAAAAATTATTTTTGTTTTCACATAATTTGAATGTAGTTCGATGATATACCGCTGTGGAGAAAAACGAAAACTCAGAAATGTGAATATTGTGTTGGTGTAATCACTTATATTCCCAATATCAACTGCATTTGTTTCCATATCTATCATTTCAAACAATAAATATCCCTTCATAATCAACCGTTGACATTTTATGTATAATAATATCATTAAATATGTAATATTGATTGTTTTGTTTTGTATTCGTCTACAGGAATGTAAATTATGTATGTCTATACATATGTATATATGAATCATAATGTCTTGTCTTTTAAAATTGCATCTGTCCCGTAATGGAACGTTTCTGCAATAAATATTATCTTATCTTATCTTATCTTATCTACAATGCATACAATGCAGGTTAGCATTTACGCTCAGCTGTTCTTTCGATATTGCAAATATGAATAAACACTTTCAAAACAGCATGCTTCAAGATCTGTTGACAGATGGATATATCGTCTTGTCTTGTCACCAAGGACGGACTGCTGGGTAGGGGAGGAGGAGGGAGGAGGAGGGAGGGTACGGAAGAGGAGGCTCTGCGTCAGATCCAGCACGCATGGGTAATGGGCTGACATTTGTGTGGGGGTTCGTGTCGGCCAGGCGTCGACAAGCCGACCCCACTACATGCCGGGCGTTGTTAGGTTGACCGTGTCAAGTCTATTTGTAGGTGATGACAGCAGATTTAGCTGGCATTTAACAGTGTCGAGTTCAATAATGATTTATTCACAAACCATCTTGATGCAGGTCCTGGTGTATTTTGTAAATTCGGTTTGATGGCTGTGTTTGTGGGGAAGTGTAGATGTGGCACTTTAGGACACTTTGGAACTTGGCTGTGTTGACAGGCGTCGTCTTGGCCATCATTGCAACCGACACCAACGTCATTGCAGCCGCCACCAACGCCCACCACGAAACCCTTTAGGTGTGGGTGTGGTTTAGTGTGATGGCCAACACAGTGTGTGTGCACAACGAAGGAAATAGACTTGCATAAGTCTCTAAGACAATAATTATTAGTTTAAATCATAAGTTCTAGATTATGTAAAAGATAAGAACATGTTGTCCCTATAAAAGACTAGGTGTACTGTCAACATATCTAGTCTAGGAGCATAGAATTACTACACATCCATGTACTTTTCTTTGAGTACAACATTGGAGCAAGGCTAGTATGAAAATTTGTTTGTTTGTTTGTTGTTTAACGATGTATTGTGGCCTCTTTTTACGATAACCCGACAACCCCTCTTGGAGACCCAATAGCGGGACAGCGAGGTCTCCAGATTCAATGCTTGTCGCAAGAGTCGGCTAAAACGTGTACTGGAGGATTTTGACTTTGCGTATAAGGAACGCATAAGAAAAATCCCGACCACGAGGCTTTGAATATGATTGTCATGGTTGTCTCCACTACCCCCGACACTGTCCTTTGGTTAGCCGATCTGATACAGACATTGGTAGGGTACGTCATAGGGTAACTGTACTCATTCAAATGTCAAATACTGAAACTAACACTGTCAGGCTCATATAATGAATGACCTTAAGCTAACGGTATCGAGGATGCAGCATCTTCACGAAAGAATAACCCAAATCCGAAACAATAATATTTCTCATAATAGTGTATATGAAATTATCAATCGTAGAGTCATTTCATAAATATTTTGAGATGAAAAACACATTTTCATAATGTCAGTGTTACTATCGAAGGTATAAGCAATCAGACACCCGTGAAGCGCCTCTGTTAGTCCAATCTATGAGATCTACTTATATAGTAGATATCTATCTACAAGCTATACTAGAGTGCTAGAGCGATATTGTGGCATCTACAAGATGTAATTGATAGTTTTAACTCGATGTCTAACTATCAACTACTTTATTACCTAACAGTGCTAATGTCATATCTTAAGATGTAGCAGATCGTTTTAACTCGACAGCTGTCAACCATCGTACAATATTGCAGTGATAATTCCGAATCTGTTAGATGTAACAAATGGTTTATATTCAATATCTGGCTATTAACGATCCTATAGTATTACAGTGATGATGTCGAATCTAGCTATAAGATGAAACAGATAGTTTGAACTCGATATTTAGCTATTAACTATCCTATAGTATTACCGTGCTATCGTGGCATCCGAGGACAATCTGACGTTTGGGTACACTACCTTGCGCAATACGCCGACATTGATGGATGGACGTGTTACAGTCGACTATCAGATCAACGGAATGCGATCAGCTGTTTCAGACACTGGTCTATCTAGTTTGTAATTGCGTGTGTCGATTCAACGATAACGTATGCCGCAGTGACTGGCATCGAGCGGGACAGGTTAATGTCTCCCCATGACCTGTGTATATTACATAGATTTCCCCGCACTTCCTCGTCGCCAGGTCATGTGGAACAACATTGCACGCCACTGTTAGAATGTAGTACTTTTGTCTGCAAATCGTTTGGACTTAATCCCATTCAGACATTAGCGATTTCTTTTATGTGCTTTTGTTTTTGATTACATTTCGACATGTTTTTCCTTTTAGAGTAGGTGGAATTCACATTCCAAAATAAAGCATCTATTTTGGTATATTGAACGCAAGCTTATAACGAACAAATCACCAACCGCTGCTGTATGTACGGAAACATTACCCTGCATGGCGTGACCGGGACTATTTCCTACCCCAACCCGACACGCTCATCTCCCTCCCAGGCTTTGTCACGAGGTACACAAATTAATTTTCAATTTTTTATTTGCTGCGAAGTGTAAAAGATTTTCCTGACGCCTTTAGCAGCGTTGTACAGACACACACTTAACTTGCGGCCCGGCCGAAGTGCGTTTTTATTGACAACTTTCAAAATCCAGTTACCATTTGACAGATTCCGGCGTCAGAATATTATTAATAGGTCTTTTACAAGATAAATGGTTATTAATCCTCGATGGACTAAACCACAAGGCTAGCTATTGGCTTCAAGTCTACTCGCGCAGTCTTTGTCTCAATGGGTTATTTATATGATTAAATGATATAAACTAACTCTAATTGTCCCTTGTTTATACTGGCTAGTACACTCTGGTGCATTTGTGATTAAGTTGTCACTGCGGGAAGAATTGATTGGTAGACTATGAGGTGTCAAGTGTAACGGATAGGTGTCTGTTTCACTGTATCTCACTAAGAGTACAGATATTTCAAATTTGAAACTGGATTCATCATAAATACCTCACTCACATCTAACTGATTTTCAATTGTACAATCCAATGGGGCTTATCAAGAGATTCTCAGTAGCCGATATTCGTTCCCAGGGCTGGTGTTATAATGGCTTTCCATTGCATTGAATGCAATTTTAAAATGCCTCTGAATTTAGACCAATCAATAGTCCCAATCAAAAATCCCAATTTTGGACACAGTAATTCTATTTGATTCCACCGGTCACTTTACTTTGCGATCCTAGATCAATCCGTGCCTAATTATTTGAAATCCATGATACAATAGGTTAACTCTTAATATCCTAGCACCTCGCGTCTAATAGGTGATCAGGCTCACTGACTTGGTTGATGCATGTCATTTGATCCCAATTGCGTGAATCGATGCTCATGATGTCAATCACTGTATTGTTTGGTCCAGACTCGATTATTTGCAGACCGCAATGATATAGCTGGAATATTGCTGAGTGCTCCGAGAAAGGCGCCAGTCGGGTCACCTTTTCCTCCGAAGACCCTGGCAGTCGTTGAATTAGGTTGGTGTGAACAGGTAGGGTTCAACCCCGTACCGTTTGGGTTCTACCTACCCAGCTAACAATTTCACGTTGTGACAACGTCGTGACAACGTTGTGTTTACGTTGTGGCAACGTTGCGGATGTTACGTCCATATAACGTTATTCTGTGGACTCCCATTTATGTTGTCACAACGTCATGGCCTAACGTTGTGTTACGTCATCACAACGTTGTGATGACGTTGTATTTTACGTTGTGGGAACGTTGTGATAACGTTGTGTTTACGTTGTGGTAACGTTGCGGATGTGACGTCCATATAACGTTATTCTGTGGACTCCCATTTATGTTGTCACAACGTCATGGCCTAACGTTGTGTTACGTCATATTCACGTCGTCACAACGTTGTGATGACGTTGTATTTTACGTTGTGGAAACGTTGTATTTTTACGTTGTGGTTATGTTGTATTTTACGTTGTGGCAATGTTATAATAATGCGTCCCTACAACGTTATTCTGTGTACTATCATAGACGTTGTCACAAGGACATGAAATAACTTTGTGTTACAAGGATGAAATACGGTTGTGACCATTCCACAATAAAATGTTGTAAAAACAACCCCAAAACTTGTTCCGGAAATGTTTTAAAATATGCTTTAGTCACGTGAATGTGTACGATTCGAAATACCTTTTACCAATATTTTAAAACCAGGGCGTCGAATAGCCCGGTTAACAGTGAGTTAGATCGTGTTTTGCTAACAATGTTCAAAATGTAAAAACACCACTGAGCTGTTACCTAGATACATGATTTGACTATAACAAAGTCAGACACCATTACCCTTTAGGCTTGTACTGAAAGAAACAAATAAAAGAATGGCAGACATTGTAAGGGGTTGACCATGTGATATTTTCTGGGGAGGGTCGGGTCCTGGAATATTATCGAAAAAATACATTGTGACCGAAAATTCTTGACAAAAATAATTACGGTTCAGACTGGTGAAAAAAATGACATAGATCTAGATGCAAGGTGCTTATCTTCAGGCTCATAGAGTTAAAGAAAATCATATATCTGCTTTTGTAGCTGTGACCGAAAACATATGTAATCTCCACAGAAAAGTTCCAGGTCCCCACCTCCTTGAATATTAAATGGTCGGTCGCTAATCAAGTCCATATAGTATACTTCAACTTTCAGTCATGCGAAGTCACCATTCAACAAAGAACTCCAAGACACATTTGCGTTGACATTTTATTATTTTTAGATTATAGAAAATTTATACACTATTCGAAATTATTGAATGCCAGAATCTTCTTTCTTTGGTGTTCACTTCCACTTCCCTGAAATACAAACAGCTTAATAAATCTCGAGCAGGTATATGAAATATTTCATATGACGAGAAACATTCATTTGGAGATAAGGTTTTATCAATATTCAAACAATAATGTATAATTCAAGTGACTGATTGAAACAAATTTTAACTTTCATTCAGAGACATCAAGAATCAGGTTGAATACAAAACGTGGTACGAGCATAGATTTATATAAATAGATCTACCTTCTTAGCATTCATTTCAAGCAAAAATACACACCAATTAACATGGATATAGACAATGGAATGTAACTGTAAACAATTGTACTTACGTTAACATAATTCACAGCCCAGGGTTTAATTGGTGTGTTCCTCAATGATTCAACATTCTTGATTTTATCTCCTGGAATGGTCGTGTAACATTTTCCCCCTTGCTGCAACGACAACATATTCAAAAAGTCAAAACTAAAACTATAGTCAATAAGCATAGATTTAGATCTGTAGTCTAAACAAAAAGATAACATACATTGTATAATTGCCTAAAATTTAGGAAAACTGTAAATCTAAAGTCTTCATGTATAAGGTCCGATCGGAAATAAACTCAGACTACAGATATAAGTAACAAAATTATGAGTACCATCATAAAAAAAACCCACCTAATGTAATTTGGTTTTACATATACACCGGTCTGACAAACCGGTCAGGCAAACCAGTGATTATTATAGTGAGCCACGTCTCACAACCTCTGTCAGAGTACAATGACACACAATCATGTTAGTACAAACATGGTTTGTTGGGGACCTTTTCCAAACGGGAACAGATATATTAGACTGGCATTGTAGCTAATTACGACTCACATCTTCATCGCAGCGCTGTTTATATAGATCTAGCTGCAGTACGATTTCGTAGCGAGCACTGGAACTTACTCGTTCAGTTTTCGATCACCATTTTATTCTCTCTCATTGCCAAAAAGATCCAGAGAACCAAGTATCATATACTTACACTACGTTTATTAACATAATACAGTTCAATATCGTTAAATATAATTCTGTAGTATGGTAGCCTACCTGGCAACATACGGAGATCGAAAACCGAACGAATATGGTTGCTATCAATTCCATTGTATTTTTCATTGGTGCACATTGACTAGATCGACACCTATTTCACCTTAATAATCAACAAACGATGACCAAATCACTGACAATGTATGGTGATATTTAACTTTTGACTATCGACTAGCTTATCATCACCAGCGAGAACAATACCGCAAACACCCCGTTATTGCGCGCGACGAGACTCGTTTTACTATTGCTCGTTTTCATTAGAAGGGAGTCGGACATAGATCTAGTTATCGGAACATGATGAATTGATTCTTTTTTTTGGAAAAATTAAAAATACACATGATAATGGCCTTGCTCAAATAAACTTTATAGACAGCACCAACAACCATATGATCCACATTTAGGCTACTTCAGTCAGTGCTGATTGGGCCTTTTCGGGAACAACAAGTATGTTTCTGTCTCTTCCCGAAAATACAATTTTTCATAACATCATTGAGCCCTTTAGACTAGGGCTATAACTAGCAGCCTACAGAGAGTCGATCTGAAAATACTTCCATTGTTTTGATTTCCTCTCTTCGCTGTATAAGAGAAATCTACTCAACCTTTCACCATGGCCTGAATGAGCCACATTGTTTCACAAAAATCAAAGTCAGAATTTTAGTACATGTAAACTTACAGATTTCAGAAATAACACGGAAGAAATGGCGATAACTGTCAGTGGTCAGTAGGCGATGCATACGTTAGGCCTATTTACAGACCTTATACGCTTACGATCGAAACCCGAACATAATATGACGACCACAAAACGCCGCCAGACTGAATTCTGGTCAAACATATACTGCTTGCCCTTGGTAATTACCCTTGGTATCCATAAAATAATACTATGGAAAAAAGTCATGGGCTTCCTTCACCTCTATATACATCACGTTCTGTGTATCAAATATTACTATCAACACTGACGCTCAGCTCAGTGAAAGTGACCGGCAAACTGCATTCTAAACCCCGCCACTTCTGAATAATACGATACATTTAAATCATTTGACTATCTGCATGATCTGCATGTACAGAAACATATCAACAAGCGGAGACTGCTTTTGAAAAATAACTTACCTTATCCGAATTCACAGATCATCTGTCCAGTTCCCGTTGCTGCACAATCACTTGGTTGTAATATATCCAGATTGTGCTTGAACTAAGATGGCTGGTGACAACAAATCTTCCGCGACAATGTGACGTCATTTTGACGTCACTTCACGAGGCAACAGGCTAAACTTTTCAGCAGTCGCTCTCACGCCGCAACAAATGCGCGCCAATGTGTTTTTAACTGTAATTTTGCTTGTGACAACATTTAGTAGACAGATAACAGCGTTCATAGATAAATATGTTTTAAAAAAATAAAACTACGAGATGGTAGATCTACAAGTGGTTTCCTAAACATCATTTACAAAAAAGAGTTGTAATGTCCAAAGCATAACGTTATCACAACGTTAATTTGCAACGTTGTTGTTACGTTGTGGAATAACGTTACAATGTAACGTAATACTAACGTTGTAATAGAGATACGCAATAACGTTCTGAAAAATTTAGTATTAAGAGATGAAAATTCAAATGCCGAATAAACAGAAAGGTAATGCATTTCTGCCTTGGTATTCTGACAAATTCATGTTGATTTTTGATAAAGCAGTTCTATTCCTTTATGACTATCAAGAAGCAAACTTTATAACGTTTCACCGACGTTTCAGAAACGTAGTTACAAAACGTTGTGCGATGTCCGATGCACAACGTTTTCACAACGTGAACGTGCAACGTTGTTATAACGTTGTGAAATAACGTTGCACGTTGACGTTATAATAACGTTGTGACAACGTTATTTCACGACGTTACCAATCCACAACCTTTCCACAACGTTGTGACAACGTCGTGTGTTAGCTGGGTACCTACCTACCTACCTACCCACCCACCCACCCTCCTACCTACCTACTTACATGTGAGTGATTTAAAGAGCGCTTCAAGCGGAGGTAATTTCGCCATCGGTATCGCCTCTATAGACTGCCATTAAGTCGTACCCCATGTTGGTGAAGTGGGTGAATGTCCGGAGGGATTAACAGGCACTCGGATGCTTGTTGAGCCCTTCATCTTGGCATTCGTGGTCACTCGTGAACCTTCGATGTCCAGAACGCTGGTCAAGGATTAGTGTACCAAAATGACTTGCTGCATTTGTCACCGAGACTTTGGATGGCAGCGCCTCAGTCTTGGAGGAATTGTCTTGGAAGACAGCCTGGCAGATTCTTTCACATTGTGTTGACATCACCAGCTCCACGTCTACCGAACATCTAGAAACACCACACATCAATGAACACAACGTATCAATGTAATTTCCATTTACAGCTTCTGTGAAATTATCACTTGACGGACCGCGGCATATCTATAAAGAGAAGCGATTGGATGTCAATGTCAAGAGTTTCTTTACAGGAAAATAAGTTTTGTTGCCGCAGGGAATGTGTGTGCATGTGATGCTGCCTCTTGTCCTGACAGTTGATGTTGAATTTGTCGTACGATTCTCTTAGAGTGATGGCGGAATGTTTCTGTAAACGGGGTTCTCCTTATATAGTAAATAAAATATTCCTTTGGTGTTGGTATTTAGAGTATAAACCTTTATATATGCTTTTGTAGTTTTTAGTAACTTGGTATAGGGGTAGGTTGCTATTAAGTGATAATAAGTGCCGTGGTCATCTAGCCTGGTATTGGCTGTGTGACACTTGGAAACGTGGTATGTGTTAATGGGCTCATGGGTAACATGCTGTTTGGCTATGTGATGTTAGGGAACTCAGTAAATGGTATCGTGGTTTTGGTAACATGGTATGATGATGAGGTGGTGTTTTGAACCGCTGAATGAGGGTAAAGTGGTGTTTTGTACCGCTGTATGATGGTAAGGTGGTGTTTTGTACCGCTGTATGAGGGTAAAGTGGTGTTTTGTACCGCTTTATGAGGGTAAAGTGGTGTTTTGTACCGCTGTATGAGGGTAAAGTGGTGTTTTGTATCGCTGTATGAGGGTAAAGTGGTGTTTTGTACCGCTGTATGAGGGTAAAGTGGTGATTTGTACCGCCGTATGAGGGTAAAGTGGTGTTTTGTACCGCTGTATGAGGGTAAAGTGGTGTTTTGTACCGCTGTATGAGGGTAAAGTGGTGGTTTGTACTGCTGAATGAGGGTAAAGTGGTGATTTGTACCGCCGTATGAGGGTAAAGTGGTGTTTTGTACCGCTGTATGAGGGTAAAGTGGTGGTTTGTACTGCTGTATGAGGGTAAAGTGGTGTTTTGTACCGCTGAATGAGGGTAAAGTGGTGTTTTGTACCGCTGAATGAGGGTAAAGTGGTGTTTTGTACCGCTGAATAAAGATAACGTAATGTCTGGTAACGTGATGTTAGGGAAAGTGGTATCTACTACCGTGGTATTTGGGTTTTACTTAGACTGTTATGTAGTGCTGTAGTGATGTTAGGTAACCGTCGTGATTGTGCTGACATCAGCGACTGCAGGCGGACGAGTAATGAATGGATGGTGATTATGTCGTTGTGCAGGAATGATAATGTTTAGATAACAAGACACAACTTATGACACACCCGCTATTTACATAAGGGCAGGAGACAATATAACAGACAAATATTCAAATATTCCTTAGTTTGAAATCCTTCAACTGAATTGGAATTCCCTTCAAGGTATTTGTGTAAAGTTCAAAACCGTCTTTCGGGTTCTACCAAACACGGCTGTACGTATATCTGCAAACTGTTTACCACCGTGAGCATGGTGAGTCATGTGATATATGAAACACAGAGGGCCCAAGTTCACAAATCCACATTAATATTAAGACTTTATAACTCATGTCAAGACGGATAAAAAAGTTTTTAACGGAGCCCCGCAGAGGATATGAAAGATAATCACCAGTAGTTCAAGAATGTGATGAAGGACAATCACCAGTAATTCATGAATGTGATGAAGGACAATCGATCACCAGTAATTCTTGAATGTGCTGAAGGACAATCACCAGTAATTCATGAATGTGCTGAAGGACAATCACCAGTAATTCATGAATGTGCTGAAGGACAATCACCAGTAATTCATGAATGTGATGAAGGACAATCACCAGTAACACATGAATGTGATGAAGGACAATCACCAGTAATTCATGAATGTGCTGAAGGACAATCACCAGTAATTCATGAATGTGATGAAGGACAATCACCAGTAATTCATGAATGTGCTGAAGGACAATCACCAGTAATTCATGAATGTGCTGAAGGACAATCACCAGTAGTTCAAGAATGCGATGAAGGACAATCACCAGTAATTCATGAATGTGATGAAGGACAATCACCAGTTATTCATGAATGTGCTGAAGGGCAATCACCAGTAGTTCAAGAATGCGATGAAGGACAATCACCAGTAGTTCAAGAATGCGATGAAGGACAATCGATCACCAGTAATTCATGAATGTGATGAAGGACAATCACCAGTAGTTCAAGAATGTGATGAAGGACAATCATCGGTACTCCAGGACTGTTGTGTAACCTGACGCTAACACCTGTACTCATGACAAACCAAACCTGCACTGACATTCCTGGTATGAAGCCTTGCATGGAATTTAGAATGCTTTAGAAACCGGCTTGGCGCCTTCGATCGCGTTTTGATAATACAGTAACTGAAGGACTTCCCGAAGGATAAAAGTTGTACATTCACAAAGCAGCCCCGCAGGACTGCAAATTGGACATTCATGAAAGGGAAAAACGAATCGGCCTAACGCGTTTCTTCTGCTATGTATCATCTTCAGAATTAGAATTGTTAAAGAATGTATGAGAGGCGGAAACGGCGTTTCATACCCGCCGTGTTTCTTGTCGAAACATTGATATTCTTCTGGTAGCATAATTAAGCAGGTATGCCCGTCATCAATCTGTTTTCAGTGTATGGACCGACTGAATTCATATTTATTAGGCCATGTGGGATATGGCCGCTGAATGCAATGGCATCCTGCTTGTCGGATCGCATATACATGCGGATCTTGACAGGAGTTCTCTTTAGTGATGGAAATCATGCAGAGATGCGTACAAGGTATATCATTATCATACTTTTATGTGACTTGGGCCTCTTTGGAATTCTATAATTAGCACAAGACGCAAGCAGTATCTCAGATGAACTGGAGATAAAATAAGTGCACTACATTTGTAGCCTTAGTCGGCGGAGAGCGATAACAACCTAAGGGGGTATATGCTCTCCTGTTATACCTTCGGAGTATTTTTGGTGTATCAGGCCAGATCATTCACCATTATCAACTGGGACATACATGTAAGAGGAGTCATCATCACTCTGATACTCACTTCAAGATAAGTGAGGTGTTGAAAACCCTACGAAGAACGCGGGGCAAGGATTCACCCGACAGCATTGTTGACGTAATCCATGTTGGCATTATTTAATAATTTGTTTTACGGCGCTGCAAACACTTTTTCTCGACTGCAGCTAATCATAAAGGGGCTGACATTAAACAGCATTTATTACACTTACGTGAGGATTCGAGATTAATGTTGGGAGACCTTTCAGATAGTGGAAGGCGAACGGCTGAAAGGCTGAATATGAACATTTCTCGTTTTGCATGCTGTGGACTTTTTTAAAGATGGAAATATGTTTCGAATGTAAAAAAATGATACTTGGATCAATTGTAACGCTCTTTGCGTACAAACTATTTACATGAATGCTTATACCAAAAGATTTATGTAATAATTTATCTATATATACTACAGTGTGTATTGTTCACAAAAGGGCAACATGCTTATTGGAATCTTCGTCGATGGATAATGAAGAAGTGGAAATAATGCTATTCAAATACTTCAAATGGATTCTGTTGCGGTGGATAATCAAGACTCGTTATTCTGTTGCATTGACGTTATATTATTGTTATATCTCTCCTAATCCCTATCCTTATCTTCATGTCCACATGCAAGTATATGTCAAGGGTCTTTGAAGTTTTCAATACTTCTAAGCTTTATTGAACATACTACATAAATAATCCGAGTAAGCATATACTCCGAAATGTGTTCCTCATAATAAAGAAGTTGACATCCATAAATTCTCTTTCTTATGAATAGTGTTATGTATAATTTCTCGTGCTTTCTAGCGTGCTTTCTCGCGTGCTTTCTAGGGCTTGACGTCAAACTGTACTTCAACATTTTGTGCACGTTCAAATTTTGATAAATTTATGGGACCAAGGTCCTACCTGGTTTTTTCCTGAAAAAATACACCTGGTGCAAGTTATATCAAGTTCCTTAAACCGATCTCTGTCTTTTGTCACTTATCCTACTGTGATCTTGCTAACTAACCACAGGGTTAGACATAACCGAGTTCACAAAAATCGTATGTACTAGTGCTAATATCACTCTCGCGCAGCAGGTTATTGTTTCCGACATTCGGACGGCATTGTTGACGTCATTCGAATTTAATCGTGACGTAAGGTCGGAATGACGTCATATAAGAAACGACGTCATAGCGGAAAATTGACGTCATTTGATGAATTGTGTTTTTCTTGGACAGCGGTGGTGATCAGTGCATTTTTCTTAAGGGGAGCTCA